GTTGCAGTGCTGAATTTGAGGTAGAGGTGCATTTGGGAAGTGCTTTTACAGAAAACAACTACATGATTAGTTTTCTGCTAAAGTTCCAAGTTATATAAATGCATTGCTAAAATTAATACTGTAGTCATATTCAAAAATTGTTATTCCTTGGGTAGTTCTTACTTACAGTCCCTTGGCCCTGCATTAAGTTATGTTTAAAAGAGGATAATATTTTGAATTACTTTTATAAAAAAACCAAACCAACCAAACAAAACCAAAACACAAAAAAACCCCAAACCAAGCAGCCACACAACAATCCCCCCCAAAAAAACCCAAACCACATAATGAGCAAAAAGCCAAACCACCATAAAACTACTTCATAACTTTTGAGACTGTATCTTTCAGAGGGAGAAAGAGAAGGGAAAGAAGATATGATATTGATATTTTTGGTAAATGGAATATTTCTGAAATCTGCATATTCTGTGAAAAGCATTACATATTGTACAAAATGGCACTGTGAGGAGAATGTGAAATTTATTGATTACATTATGTGTTATTTTTGTTCTGGTGACTAGCCAGTGATTCTTAAGGTTCAGGTAATCAAGCTGACTGTATACTTTCAGAGCATATGTCTGGAGGGAGATACACATATTTAACCTCATTCTGTCTTGAGATCAGACCTATGTACACATCAGAAACCTTGCCCCAGTGAATTAGAGCAGAAGGGAGGGGCAGAGACTGAAGGTGGTCAGGGACTGAAAGCTGAGGTACACAGTAGTGCACTAGTTCCATCTCTAATTGCAATCTGTGACTCTCTGTTTATGTCTTCCAGCCTTTTTAATGATGCACATAGCAAAATCAGCTAGTTCATCTATGTATTGCCAGCATGTCTTCTTTGTTATTTCTTGATATTCTTATTGGAAATTCCATGTATCTTTCTCTGTGTATGAATGTGTGTGTATTTCATGTGTGAAGATAACCTTCTGAAAATTATAATTTCTCTAGTAATACATCAGTAAACTGAAAAGTGGGATATTTTCTGTTGAATAGTCTCTTTGCAAAACAATTTTCTTCAGGAGACTTCTTTTAAAGACTTACTTTATACAGTGGTCACATATAACTTACTGCTTATATAAACTTTCTGAAGATACCTGTTTAATAAGAAATATTACAAATTTTTATCCTTCTGTTGCTGTTTAACAGGCTAACAACAGTAACTTTTAATAATCAAACACGTCACAATAAATACTGGTTTTATTCTGATTTATCATCTTAGAATTGCTCTTTTATGGTACGCACTGTACGGTGTTTGTCTTTGCACTGGTTGGCATAGGCTGCAGGTCTGGTATAGATCAGACAGTGGGACTCATAGAGCTGACTATAGTCTGTACGTTAGCCAACAGTTTGTTTCCTTACAGATTCAAGATACTTAAAATCTATGTCTATGTGTGCATGTGTCCTGGGTTCAGCTACAGCAGTCATTTTTTCTCCTTCTTAGTAGCTGGTGCAGTGCTGTGTTTTTGACTTTCAGTCTGGGAACAATGCTGATAACACCGATGTTTTTAGTTGTTGCTAAGTAATGTTTACTCTGACCAAGGACTTTCTCAGTCTCATGCTTTGCCAGAGAGGAGGGGAAGCCAGGAGGAAGCAGAGGCAGGACACCTGACTCAAACTGGCCAAAGGGGTATTCCATACCACAGCACGTCATGCCCGGTATATAAACTGGGGGGAATTACCCGGAAGGCCCAGATCGCTGCTCGGGTCGGGCTGGGTATCGGTCGGCGGGTGGTGAGCGGTTGTGTCCTTTTCCCTTGTTATTCCTCTTATCATTATTATTGGTAGCAGTAGTGGTTTGTATTATACCTTAGTTACTGGAGAGCTGTTATCTCAACTCGTGGGAGTTACATTCCTTCGATTCTCCTCCCCATCCCTCCGGGAGCGGGGGGAGGAAGGAAAAGGGGGGGAGTGAGCGAGCGGCTGCGTGGTTCCAAGTTGCCGGCTGGGCTTAAACCACGACAGCATGAATCAGAAATGCAAAGTTTGTGTATGCTTCTGTTGAGGTACAGGGGAAAATAAAACATTATATGAGTGGATTTAATACCCACAAAACTGCTTTTGTTGGTCTTACTTCCTAGATGAGGAATCAGATAACAAATTCAGTTCCAGGTCAGTAATGAATGTTTCCTTTTTCCTGTCCTCTCACCCTGTTCAAAGTAACACTATATAACTAGATACTTGATCCAAAGATAATCCTGTAATTAATATGGATAAATACTAAGTCACATTTTTGACAGTAGTATATTATCTCTAGTATATGTATCAACTGAGGATTTTCACTTTCCTTCATGTTGTAATTTTTCATCCTCTCCATGCTGGTAATATGTTCACTGTTATTTATCATTTCCGTTTTCTTTTCTTGTTTTGGTTCCTCTTTTTTCCATTTGCTGTTTGCCCAGACAAGTTTTTTCTCTATTAGTTTTTCATCATTTGGGTCACTGTCTTTCCTTCCAGTTCATCATTTTTCTCAGTGTTTTATTCCGCATTTCTTACTACGTTATTACAAACTTCTCCAGTGTGGGTATCAAGGGAATAGAATCTGTTGCTCACTCCTGATCACAAATGAAGTCCTCAGTTGGGTATGACTGGAAAATCTGCTTTGTGCTTCACGGTCAGTAAAGCGTACCAAAGTCAGGCTAGGAGAGGGCATGAGGGAACACCACCCAAAATCAGTTGCTTGCTGCTGACTTCAGTTGTTAAAAATGGTAGCAGAAATCAGAGGGGAAGACAGTGCTTGAGGAGGAATTTTCAGCTAGCTGGCTGAACACTCTCAAGTGCTCAGTGGGGCTGCCCCATGGGAGAGGCTTAACCAGGAGCTGCAGGTGTTGCAGCACTGGCAGGGCAGTACTCTTGCTCATGGGTCATTCTCCTAGAGTACCCCATTGATGCTGGGCTGGGGACAGGGACAGGATGCTGCCACTGTCCCGTGATCATTGGGCAAGGCAGGGTAAGGAGTCAGGACCAAGGTTGACCTGGGGACCCAGTTAGGGCTGATGATGGGTCTGGGCACAGGGCTTCCTGCAACATAGCTCAGGTAGGGACTGATGGCCCTGGTGGTGCCCTCAGGAAGCTGTTACTGATTTGTCCTTCGGAAATTATGCATAAATTGAAAGTTCTTTGGAGGCAACATCAAAGTCTATTACCTATCAGTGAAAATGTGAATAGAAATTTTGATTCGCTGTAAGTAATATGTATCTGATATTTTTCTGGGTTCTGGTGTGCAAATGTTTCAAAAATATTGGTATATGAATGCTAAAATGAAATAATTGAAGAATTCCAGGGGTTCTGAGAAAATGAGATACCTTTCTTTCAAATGCCTCTCCTTGTATAAAAGAGTCAGCATAGATATTTCCTGTGGTTATTTTGGGGGTGTTTGTTTTCTTTTGTGGGCTTGTTTTGACTTTTAGGTTGGGGTGTTTTGTGGGTTTCTTTTTTTTGTTCTGTTTTGTTTGCTTATTCTATTTTGTTTTGTTTATTTTAATTTGAAACCACTGTCAATTGCTACTTATCTTTTTCTTTTCTGCTTTTTAAAACTTCTTATATCTTCATGAGAGAGAGTCTTGACTGAAAACAGGACCTAGTGGTCCTGTTTATGTGAGTTTTATATACGTGTGTGTGTTCATCTTATCAAATGTAAAACGTTGGTATCAGTTTTCCATAACAAGGACTTTTTTAGCTGTGGATTTATTATTTGTCATTTTGAGCTGAATAATGGATAAAAAGGAACTCCTTCATTTCTTTGGTCAGGGAGGAGAATTGAAGTATGAACAAGTGCTCTGTGTTTATTTATGCTACTTGTAATGGTTAGCATATATGTGTGTGACTTTTATTGAAAATTAACAGAATTATATGAATTGCCTTCTGTCTAAAAATTAAAAATAGAAGAAAGCAAGAAGGTAATGTTGCACAGTTATAAAAATATACAGGTCAAAATCTGACTTTTGAGAGATTGCATGATGCTTTTTTCTCTTCAGTTTCCACTGTTCCTTTTTGTCAGACATAGAACAAAGAAAACAGATATGAAAACCAGTAACTTCACATCCAATTTTGACTAATTGTTCTCATACTTGATTTGAACTAGTGCTATTACATTAATTGGAATTTCTCAATTAGATAGAAATACCTTGGGTTGTCATACAGAATGTAGGAATACCTGTGAAAAGTAACAGAAACATTATCCAATGCAGCAAAGCATTTAATAAAGGTTTCATGTGAGAGTGCAAATATGCTTAAGAGGAGATACTGTTTATTTAGGGCAGAAAATACCCTGGAGCTAGCACTTAATGTGATACCCTTCCTGAAAGCAGCAATGTTTGGGCTGTGGGTTGGTTTGGAAGCATATACAGTAGCAGAAATGTTTGGTTTGCGGTATAACCTCTGTCAAGCTTGTGGCTTTAACTTCTATCTGTCTTACGTTACATATCTTTGGAAACACATAGCTAACCATAGTGGCTGCAGTTCATAAAACATTTGTGAGCCTTGGCATGGAAGTATTGTGGGAATTTAATTGTTTGGTTTGTTCTTTTTGTAGATTTATGCCAGTATGAATGTGTTTTTTGATCTGTCTTGCTTGTTTTCTGTTGGCTGCAGGCTGACTGAGTGGGCTGGACTTCACTGGAAGGAGCCATTTTGCTGGAAAGTGGAATAACTGTGGATCTCTCCCCATGCTGCTTGCTGGGAAGTGCTGTGCATTGCCAGGTTTAAGCCAATGCTGAAGTCTGGCATGGGCCTTAGGGGCAAATACTCCCTTGTTTCTTCTGATGTTGGGATTTTTCTATGGCCAGTAAGCTGAGGCACCTACCACACATTAGCTTTTGTGTTTTTGCTGGTTGAACAAGGTTACATTTTTCCTCACTTCATCTCCTTTTGACTACTTTTTTATTTTATTAGTTTTTATTTTCCTTGACTGATTAATTTTCTCCTGGCTGTGGAAGAACAGAGCCCTGCTGATGTTGATTTAAATAATGTCGAAACCAATGGGACTCCTATGGCTGCCTTTGATCTTCACCCCAGTGTGTGTCATGTTGAATTCTAACTTCCTCCTGTGGATAACTGCACTGGCTATAAGATTTACTCTCATCGATGGCCAAGCACAATACCCAGTTGTTACCACAAATTATGGCAAAATACGTGGTTTGAGAACACCTTTGCCTAATGAGATCCTTGGTCCAGTGGAGCAGTACCTGGGTGTTCCTTATGCCTCTCCTCCGACTGGAGAAAGGCGATTTCAGCCCCCGGAGCCACCATCGTCTTGGACGGGTGTCCGCAACGCCACTCAGTTTGCTGCCGTCTGCCCACAGTACCTGGATGAGAGATCACTGCTCAACGACATGCTGCCAGTCTGGTTTACAGCCAATCTGGATACTGTGGTGACATATGTTCAAGATCAGAATGAAGACTGTCTGTATTTGAATATCTATGTGCCCACAGAGGATGGTAAGTACTTTAAGGACCACACAACCATGCACTTGCCAGTTCTGCACATGAGTAGTAACCAGGTCTTTAAAGCGTCTTGCTCAGTTTCCTCCGTGTTTAATCTGTGAAAATGGATCATGCCTCTGAACATGCATTATAAGTAAATACTTTGTTGATTGAAAATGCTTTCATGAGTTTTCTCTCATGTTTCAGTGTAACATCAAACCAGTTTCATTTGCAGTCCATGGCCAGGGTGTGTAAGCCAGCCTGAAGTTTACATTTGCACTATAGCTGAGCATCATTCACAGGAGGGGAAAGGGGGAATAATCAATAACAAGAAGTAAACACACTTGTTTTCCCATGCATTAATGGTACAAATACTGCCACATACAAATAGTGCCACATTTAAATGAGAATCTTGCCTCTTAATTTAGTTTTATTATAATACCTCTGAGCCTATTATTAACTCTGTTTGATTTTAATAGATAATAGAAAATTGTTATAGTAGTTCAGCCTGCATTTTTTTTCCCAGGTTTTTTACCTATGAAACTTTTCAGTCCAACTTATTTTTCTTCATTGATTAAATCTAAAATGAAGTACACATTATTGTATTATGCAGAGCTGAACGGGTGGCCTTAAACTTTCATCTGTTTTCTGCAATCTTTTCTCAAGAGGACTACTTTAAACTACCTTCTGTAGACAAAAAGAATGAACACAATTGATAACACACAACTCTTTGAACATTTTCATGATCTCAGACTTAAAATTTCTAGTTTTATGGAATGCTGAATGTATCTTTTGTCATTCTGAATGATATTGCTTCCTACAGACAAGAAGACCTGTTTTCATCAGGTCCCAAATGAGTTAAGTTTATTAGATATCACAGGGAAACAAAAAATTCTACTGGCAGTTATATTTGATATTCTGCTAAAAGCCAGTTCTTTCAGCCACTTAGAATGTAGTTACCGATGCATAACATGACAGATTTCTCCCAGATATGCAAATCCTTTCACTTTAGCTGAGGGTTTGATTTGCATAACCAAAGCATTGTTATTTCTCAGTAACCATGCTCTAAATATGCAAATTTGTACTTTGATTATTATAATCCTTCTGCCTTGATTGGCTTCTTTACTCAGAATTTCCAAGCTGTTTGCCGGCAATAAACATACCACCTTCTTTCCTGTTCTCATATGCTGAAGCAAAAACTTGAAAGTTAAAAATAAAGGGGTAAGGTTTGGGGGTACTGGGGTCTCTGCAAACATAAATACTACTAAGCTGCTTAAATGGAAAGTGCTCTGAAAGTAAAGATGTGTGTATGGGGGCTCCGTTGTGCATGTATGTGTATGCATGCATGTGACGAAGGAGCAGATCTTTCTACTCAGTGTTTTCCCTCTTCCGGTCTCATTGCACTGTGTCTCACTCCTTGGGTAGTAATATAGATAATTCTTTCCCAAATTCGTTTATGTTCTGGATTTTATACTGCAGCTTTTAATTAGCCACTAGGGTAAGCTTGCCCTAAGAAAGCATTTCAGGTTAAGATTTCATTTGTTCTTCCTGAAGGAATCTGAGCTCTGTTAACTCAGTCTTATTTCAAAGCCCGGTATTAATAAATGCACATATTCCTCCAATGTAGTAATAAGACTTTTCATCCATTAATTAAGAAAGACAGGAAATCAGACATGGAAAAATATATACAAATGTCTAGGAAAAGAATATTTGATACTGAATAGGTAATAATAAAATATCATGTGCTGAATGACTAACAATCTATAAAATTCCTTATCTTGTCTGTAATAGCTAATAGCATTTGCTGTTAGATCAAAAATAGAAAGGACTGATAAATTTATCTTTTGTAGATGCTTTTGTCTGCTTAATTCCACAAAGTAGGTGTGTTTCCTTCCGGTTTTAGAGTTTGTTTTTACACTGAATAGCATCTGAATTGAATCTATCATCTTTCATATATTCTCTTTAAAATATGAATCCATGCATAAAAAAGTATGTATCTGAATAATAAGAGGCAAGGTTTGGTGTCAGTGAAGAAGGCAAGACTGCTCCTGTACAATATAACAAGCATTGTTAACAGGTTCCAATGGGGAAATTAAAAACTTAAAAATTAATAAATGGAGTACAAGATGTTTTAATTGTATGTTGTATATCCTATCACTAGGTAAATATAACTCGACGTTTTTGGTGAGGAAAATATGCAACCTTCTGCTCATAAAGATCATTAAGGAGAACTGACCTACAAATTACATCTCCCAAGTTAGAGTGTCTCCAAATAATGCTAAATGTAAATAGCCTTTAATTGTAGTTCATACAGTCTGATTAAACACATTATAATTCATTATGTGAGTTTTAGTTGGCAAAAATAAGCTGTGTCGTTATGGAGACAGACCATGAAATTAGTTTTTGAAGGAAGATCTCAAAGTGAATGACTTTGAGTTAAATTTACATTTTCAATTCTTTCTCAAGTACAGATTTATTTAAAAGGGCTTTGAAACTGTTTTGTGCCTGGAAGAAAAGGTGGATGGAATCATCCAAACCTAATTAATGTTCTGACTGTGAAATGTAATCTGAATAATTTTCTACTACTTTTTTTTTTAAAACTTCAGTGAAAAGAATTAATGAATTATGTGTGGTTACATGCAGTGCTTACTTCAAACCAATCCTAGTAAATAGCTAATCAGAATGCAGTTCAGGTTTGGTGGGGTTTTTTTGGTTTGTTTTGTTGAGGGTTCCTCCCCCCCCCCCACTATGTAACATTACCTGCTTCTTATCACTTGTGTGGTTTGGTGAAAGGGAACCAAATTTTGATCATGTAGTTTGAATGAACAGTTGAATAAATGCACACAAGCATTCATCTGATTACAGAATTGCTTCACTGGCATTGTGCCGGTGTAAACTAATGGAAATAAGAGTAGAATACAGTCCCTTTAAGTGGGTAGGTAAGATCAGTTATTTATAATAAAATAGTTGGAAATGTCGCTGCTTCTGTCTGATTAAATGACATGAAATTCTATAATACCTTAAAATAGTTGGAGTATCTAGGCTAAGAAAATAAAGTTCCCTGATACACAGTTTATGTCAGTATTAATCATAGCCTTTCTTTTGACCCATAAGATTCTGAATTTCAAGTATCAAATAGCAACAGACTCCTGTCAGAATTTTCCATGTTAAAATGTTCTCACAAAGCAAAAAGCATCTTTGTTTTTAGGGCGGGTTTTGTTTTTTGTTTGTTGGTTGTTTTTTTTTTTTTTGTTTTGTTCTTTTTTTTTTTTTGTTGTGTAGATTGTGTTTCATTTTTGGTGAGAATATTTTTCATGATAGAAATCAAAACACATAACCTAACAGAATATTTCTGCAATTCTGGCTATGTGGATTTTTATTCTTTTGCTGTTGTTCACTGGACAAGTGGTTTTTACTGACACTTCCCTTGGAGTAGCAAACCCTTGTATTTCAGAGAATCTACAGTAGTTGGAGAATTCCAGTGTTTTTTTTACCTTTGCCTTTGGAAATGAAAAAGTTGAGCTACTATAATCCATTGAGGCTTTTTTATTTTGTCATAAGTATAAATAATAATGCAATTATTTTAAAGTTATAAAATACACGCAATAAAGATAAAATTTCACAAATTTTATGTGTCAAAGCTGTCATCGTAAGAAATTGCTCAGAACTGAAGCAAATAAAATATTTGTAGTAAAATAATCATTCTATCAAAATCACTTTCTAAACATTTGGCTTGATCTTCAAAATCATTTGTGTGGGTATGTATTGTCTTGTCTGTAATTTTCCACAAGAATACTTGAATGTCAGTTTTGAGGAGGTCATCTAGGGAAATGATATTGAGGACAGTCTGTTTATTATAACTTCAGTCTGAATATGGGTTTATCTACAGTGGAAATGCTAGAAGAGGACACAGACTGTTAATCGGCTGTGCTTAATCCTTGGCCTTTATCATTTGAATCTGTGGATGCTGAAGGAGATTGCTAACTCCTATCATAACTGGGAAAAAAAAACCCCAACAAAACATAAGCAGAAAAGACCCGCTCTGCTCAGATCAAAACAGAAGAAAAAATAAAAAGATGTCTTTTTGTTGTCTTTACTTGACCAATAGTAAGTGGATATACTTATTTTCGTATGTGGATAGAACGTACATTTTATATAAGTGCACAGCTACTCAACCACCATGTAACTGTTAAGGATTAACTAATGAAGTATTTAGCATCTTCAGAGGTTTGTTCACTAAAGATGCTCCTTGTGAGCTCTTGCCTCATTTATATTACAACAAATACAACTGAAGTGACAAAAAAAGGTGATAGGCCATGATACTTAGTAAGGCTGAGTAGGTAGGTCATAATTTTTTGATTACGTTAGGGAAACTGAAAATGTTGTCCAGGATTAATGGTATATTTAACTGTGAGCTACCAGGAATTAAAAAGTGTTGGTCAAGAGCAAAGAGATCAACAGTGTTCCTTCTCTGGGCAATCATATGAAGGAAAGGTACCCGCATTTTTAGACTCTGTGTCTGCTTGACTAAGAAAAAGAGAAATGAAAAACTTGAACAAAGCTGATGATAAACAAGATATGTGTTAAGTGATTTCTATAGGTTCACTTTTTCATGTTAGTCAAATGTCTGCCTAGTATATAAGTGAGTAAGTGCAGCCTCCTCCTTGTCATTGCTCTTGAATTGCAGTGTCTGTTTAACTTGGAAAAGGTATTTTTAGCAAAATTATATTGATAAAAGCTAACTGATAAAAGAATTTCTTTTTTTTTTTGCCCTTTTTTTGGGGGGACGGAGGGGGTGATAGTGGAAACATGAGTCCTGTCGTTACAATTACTTGATCGCATGGAATAAAAAATTACAATTACTTGATCATATGGAATAAAAAGCTATTCAGTGATTGCTTTACTAATACATGACATAGTAACATAGTGTACAAGACAGATGCAGTATTGTACAATATTATTTTTGTTGAATTATTAGTAGGTGATAAGCAATAGTAACTTTTCTTTTCCAATAA